GCCCCCCCCCCCCACCCCCTTTTTTTTTCTTTATTTGATATACTCAGCTGACACCACTAATCTTCGGCACTTATATGACGTATTCGTATTGCAAGTGTCATAAAACTCATGCTAAAACTATTTTTAAAAGTACACACAAACACTTTGACAACTTACAAGACTCTAGTCAACAGAAATAAATGTTTTAAAAAGGTCGAATTCGTTTTTAAGACACATGTGCGCTGTCACACTAGACACATTCCATCTGTCATGTACATTCCATCTTTCAAGTTTAACATATTTAAAAGTTCTGTAATATTGACTTTTAACATTTTATTCAAGGTACAATTTTTTTTTAAAATGTATTGTCACGAACAAGGAATAGCAAATAGCTCATGAAAGTGAATGTTTAAATCGTCTGTAACTGTAGAATGCAGTACGTTCTGCTCGCTTTTGGCATTGAAAATTTATGTCCTCTTTTTTGTGGATCATGTCTATCCTTATCACCCCAGTTCCGGAATTGCAGGTGATATACAGCTGAGTGCATATTTGCGTGTTTCTTCAAAGTTTAAGTAAAATTGGATTTGAAATTTTTCCTGACTTTTCAAAAATGTATTTGACTCTCCAAAAAGTGCAGTACTATTGGAACAGATTATATTATACACATAATATTATACTGGTCAATAGGGGGGGGGGGGGGTCGGAATTCCTGCAAAATCCGCCGAATTCTTGTTTTAATTAAAAGTTTTGTTTTGTTTTGTTTTACTTTTGTTTAAATTGTCATTCAAACTTTGGTATGTACGTCAGTGGCAAGAGGGAGTGTATACTGCAGTACAAAAACTCAATTATAAAAAGGATACATAATGCTACTGTTTGACTCCCACGACATTTGAAAGATGTAATGACTCTTCTACTTTCTGCAGGTGTACCCTACTCATGGAATGATCAAGAATGCAAAGAAAAGTAATTCGTTGACACAAGTGATTCTCTGGATATACCATCTGATTCTGCTGTGTCTCTTCGGGAGCAGGGCTGTGTGCTGTGTTGTGGTGATCTGTGAAGAGCTGACCAATTCATCTAACTGAAGCTAGATTTTGTGTGCGGGAAGAAAGGGACAGAGAGAGAGAGAGAGA